ATGGATGTTAAATTGTGAAATTCCCGCAATAAATAAGGAGATAAACCAGAAAAACAAGTGTACGCCTCGCGCGATTGTATTGATGCGCGCCCACTGGAGAGAGGTTAATGCAGTGTTAAGAAACCAAATCAACATTGCGACTAGTAAGACCCGCTTCACAGTTACCAGGCCTTCGTAGCGAAGATGTAGTCTCAAAGCAAGATATCGTTCAAAGCTTATTGCGCTAAGAGTCATAAAGGAGACGCCGTAACAGACGTAAAAACCATTTGCGTAGAGAACCCTTACCGCGCAGTTGACATAGCCGTGGAGGTTTTCGTTGAATCGATAAGCAACGTAAGTAGGTTGCACGATGACGCTGACAAGGAAATCTGATAGAGCGAGGCAAGCTATCAACAAGCACGACGGAGTGGAACGAAGTGACGGACTCAGCAAGATGGCAAGAAACACCAGAGAGTTTGCTGTTGCTGAGAACGGCGCAAAGATCGCGTTGATCACACCAGTGATTAAATTGCTTTGGTAGCGATGCTGAGCGTGTTGGAAGATAGGATCTGGTAGATGAAAACAATGTTGGTTATTATCGATGGAAACGTTAGCAGCCATTTTCGAGCATTTCTCCTTGAACTGCGATGAGTTTCGAATGAGAAGAACCTTTTCAGTTGTCTAAGCTGTTCGTTTACTTAATGTTTTCTAAAAAAGGACTTGCCATCACGTATGTAAATACATTTATCTTTAGCAGTTGATTGCTACAATTATTGACGGCATTACGAACGGAATGACACTGACATTAATTTTGGGCGAAAACGAAATTGATGATAACATTAGAGGGAAATCCAAAATTTAAAAGGATCGAGAGATTCCTTACAAAGGAGTCGATATATTGAACATAGCCAAAGAGCGTAATCATTAAAACACAAACGAACATGTCTTTAACTTTCCCCACCATGCCAAGCGCCTGTGCTTAAATTATTTTAGTTTTATTGTGTAAATTGCTCTAAGTAGAACCTGTCACGAAGAAGACATTGTCATCTTGACAGGTCCTATCCTCGGTGAGAAACACACAGAATTAAATTACATTCACCTTGTCATTTTTGTTTAATCAGCTGACTCGGCCATATCTTGTAAATTGCTTTTTTTATTCCCTTTTGCAAGACTTAGCTGCATCTCTAAGAGCAAGCCTTTAACGAAAGCTGGCGAAAGGACAATGCCATTTTTGTTAAGTACATTAATTTTAATAGAGTTTCAACACTAGGAGTCCTTATATATTGCCATAAGGCGTTTACACATTTGCTGTTCGTCGGCACTTTTTTTTTTTTTTTTTACACAAATTTGCTTTTGTAGCGCAAGTATTCCGAATCTCACTGCCGTTTCTTAAGGTGGCTATCAACACTTTCTGGCACTAATACTTTGATGGGTCAGTGTAAAGTATTTCTTCAATTTAATAAAACTACACGTGTAGGATATCTCATCAATTTAATGAGACTACAACATTCCAAAATGGCGGTCTTCATACACACGCCAAAACGAGGCGGAAATAATTATTAAGCGCACGAACTGACACGCATACTTTACAGTCCGCACCAAAACGTCCGTTGACGCTACGATCACGAAATGACTGCCCAGTTACTGTTAATTTTTTTTTTGGTATTTTCTTGACATAGCAGGTTGCAGAAACAGCTAACTACTCGGTCATTTGACACCCTTCTGCGCAACTGCGGCATTTGATTTCTTATCCGACAGAACAGTTTTCAAAGTTGATTTTGGGGAGCAAAATCCTTTTCCATCGACCTTTTGAGACATGTGAAAATAGAAATATCGATTTTGAAGAACTGTTGCGTCATTCTTGATAGATTTAAACGGCATATTTTGTGTTTTGAGTTGAGTATCGTCGAGAAATACGATGTCCTCGTAAGGGGGTTTTCGAAGATGCAAGAGACCAAAGCTACTTTCGCCACGTAGCCGTCTTGTTGAGAAAAGAAAAAAAAAAAAACGAAGAAAAGATTTGAGGACGAACATCGGAAACTTTATATAGCTGCAGATGTGGATGCAAGTTGGAAGAAAGTAAAACGTAAGTGCTTGTATTCAACGGACACGGCCTTCACACAACATTAACATGACAAATATTCTTTACAAACAAAAAGTAAAAAGTCGATGGATAAAAATATTTTCGAAAGGCACATGAAACTCCAAGCTGACCCGCGGCGAATTCATACCGCGACTGATAGTATTACGATTTCTATTGTTTAAAAAATTGGTGTCAATCAAGAACGCACATGCGCTTTATCGTGACAATGGCCCTTTAACCCACAAGGTTTAGGGGGAGGGTTCTGAGCCACCTTACATTTAGACGACAAAACTTAACTTGGCAACAAAAGACAGTAGCAAAGTCAAGTATCATAGCAAGAGGCTTTTATTGGAAAAGAGACGATACTTGGACTTACTAGCGCATCTTTCCTGAAAACGCCTTGAGTATTCGCTTGCTACAGGCTAGGTTTGATGGTATCGCATAAACTGCCCGCTCATATATACATTTTTTTTAACTGTTCCCTTCATGCCACGTGGCACATAGGGCCGCAACATCTACTCTCCATCTCAATCTGTTTATAGCTAGCACTCTGTGCTCTGCTGCAATCCGTGAGTTCTAACCCAGCTTGGTCCTTTCTCTTGTTACAGTTCTTCGCCAGGCTTCACAAGGTCCTCTTCTTCGCCGCTTTCCATCAGCTGTCTAACACAGAGCAATATGAGGATTTTCGTCGTGGCCCATTCGTAAGACGTGGCCGCATATATTGGACCTTTATTATAAATGTCATTGCAAACTGAGGTTTTTATTCTTCTTAACTAAGTACTGCTTCAGCCATCCGTCGATTCAACAGTCCAGTTTCTTTTTAGAATTCTTTATTTAATTCATTGTTTTTCTTATTGGGCGTCTCTTGCTATATCCCTGGGGCGGATCTAGAGCCTTCGGGGTCTCGGTCAAACCCCCTAAATTTAAAAAAAAAATGAGACATTATAACACGCTCAGAACTTGACCTAAGAGTGCCAGAAATTCCATTTCCGAGGTCCTCAATTTGTGGATTTCGAAGCAATCCGCAGAGAAGATTGACGACAACGTTCTGAGCTTTGTAAGTGTCTGAAGATGTGTGAGAACTTGTCTGAAGAGAGATGTTCTTACGGAGAAAGACAAACCAATGCATGATACTATGCCACAAACCGCGAAGTAAATGAACATGAAAACTGTTGTGGAGCGTAACTGTCTGAAATACGACAGCGGTATGCAGTGTGTGGTGGATACATACACGGCCAATTCAATTATTTGCCACCATTCACTGAGAACAGTGGGACAAGTATAGCTCGAGGATATGATGATTATTTCACCGTGTCAACACACGACGTAGCGTGCAAAACTTTGGAATTTCATTCGGCATTCGCTCAAAGCTGCATGATTTGAGTTTGATCATAACATACTGACTCAGGTGAGCGCCATTACGCTTTGGCCACCAACTGATCGAAAACAGGCTAACAAGGCGACGTTTTTCCAAAGCTATTAGAGAGGTTAAGCATGACGTTAATGGCAGACGGCAAACGGCGAAGACAACTTCTGATTTTGAGTCCTTTTCTTTTAATCCCTAAATAAAGCGCACAAAAATGGAATAACGTCTCCTACTATTCATGGCAAAAACAAATAATTTCACCCTACTGTACACACAGCTGAAGAGAGACGGCAAAAGTTTCAGTTTTGCCGTTTGCCGTTTGCCGTTTGCCGTTTGCCGTGAACATCATGCTTAACCTCTCCCATTTTAACTTCCTGATCTCTCCTTTGAACTATTGTTTAAACAGTCAATTTTACTTGAATGATATGAAGGTTCTCCTTTTTAAAGGAACAGCTTCAATCCAGGACATATTTCATGGCCCTAGCTATATATCTCGCTTTTCTTTCTATTTCTTTTGTTTTTATGGTATATTTACTTTTCTCAGTTGTTAGAATAATGAAGTAGTGGCAGTAGTAGTATTGTATCTGTTATGTTGTATTATTTTTTAGTTTTGTCGTTATTATTAGTGTTGTTGTTAATTAAAATCAATTCTTGTTTAAAAAAAGCTATGTCAGTATTTTAAATATTGTTAAGGTTGGAAGCAATATTGATTGTTTCTGTAGTTTATAAGTAATGCTGGTGATGTGAGTAAGTTTAGTTTTGTATAATTGTAAACAAAGTGCGGTATTGCAAAAAAACAAGTAACATTAAACGTTTACAACGTCGAAATTTTGTTCGATAAAAGGAATTAGAGAAAACCATCATTTCCGATTGGTTTGAATGATTAACATTCAAGAGTTTTTTTGACGGATTTTATTATAACAGTTATAAAATCATCGACTCTGGATCAAAATGAGCGCATTTTCCATGGATCAAACAGCCGATATCAAGTTATGACTTATTCAAAAGCAACAGAAAATAGGTGAGGAAGTTTTTGATATTCGCGAAAGTTTGTGTTTTTGGTAATTCGTTGTGCAGTATTTTTCTTTTGTTCGATGAATTTTTCCCCTGGTACACTGTTTAGTTTCCGCTCCTCAATTAACCTGAATATTTGCACAGGATGCGAAAAGTAATGTTGTGATCATCATTTGGTAAATTTATTACCATTCTTGTTGCACAAGCGCATATCACCGAAGGGGTCATTTGTTGCTCATTTTGTTTTGATTTTTTTTTTTTTTGACTTCATAAAGATTATTCCTGGTTAAAATGTTATTGCTGTTATTCATTTATATCAACAGATAAAAAGTTTTTGTTCTTTAAGGCCCTGTCCACACTACGCAGAAGGAATATGAAAAAGTAGGTTTCACTCTGATAACGCATCAAATGTTTTCCGTCCACACGACGTTAAAAACACAGCAATCACCGGTCATTTTGGATTTGTGTTTGAGTAGATCTCGGGCTGATTATCGTAACGTCATCGCTTTCGAAAAGCTTCGTTTTGAAAATGTTTTCTGTCTACACTAGAACACAAAGCCGACGATTTCAAATTCGTCCGGTTTGAACAGCGTTTTCGAAATTAAGCTCCGTTTTCGTGATGGATTAGTGTGGACGGAAGGCCTAACTGGAGAAATAAAGGCTCAGTTTTCCAATTCCTTCCGCGTAGTGTGGACAAGCCCTAAAACTACATTAAATATTGGAAGATTACAAAAGTAGGATGCAATGCGAAAACAGTGTAGCTTTCAGAGTTTGACTTTACGTATGACTTTTGAACTCGGTCAAAGGTTCAAGATTTTACTTCCAGTGCTAAAACGAGGCCGGGACAGCTTGTTTGGTCAGGTATTGAAAGGTCTTTGGAAAAATAACAACATTCAAAAAAATAAGAAGAATAATAATCAAAATAAAAGTTACCATTTCACCTAAACAAGGGTTGCAGTTTCAAATAAAATGCAGTAGTGCACTTGTTGTTGAAGATCAAGATAGGGCCAAAGTTTCATGTTTCGTTCTCCCTACTTAGTGAAAATCAACCAACAAATTGAGCCAACAAAGGCCAGAGCACAACAGATCTTTAGATCTTAGTGAAAACTCGTTCCCAGGAGCTGCCATGCTCTGGTCAGCATGTATAATCAGAACTTCTTGGCTAACATGGGCAGTTACCTAAAATTACACATATTCAGAAACGATTTAATTAAGATGACCCACAGGCACAGTCAAACTGGAACCAAGGATTTTCTGTGCACTTTGTCACCAGGGTTCTCCCAAAACTGTGTTCGCTTTTTGAAACAAGCCTAAGTACAAGGTTGGATTTTAGATTACGGTTCTTAAACCGCCCAGAACTGATGAGGAGTTCAGAGACCGCTGAGCGACTACACGCGGGCACTTGGGACTAGGATGACTTACAAGCCCTTGTGGTTGACGTACTTCACAGCTTATGTAGGAATTCTCGTAATGCGCTCTTGACGTCAGTATCAGGACTTTTCAA